CCATGTGGATGAGTCACAGCCATTGCTTGGCCAATGTGCTCTGTGTGAAAGCCTGAGAGAATGTTTTCTCTCCATGTGACTCTCCTTAGGCTCACTCTACATCATCGATCACTTTCCTCTTTGGCCCCATACTCTCCTTGATCAGAAAATTTGGGACACTACTGAGTTACATGACGTTAGAGTACAAGTTCTCATATGTCCTGAGTCTTAATTGACCTTAGAAGGCTAGGACCAAAATGTTGGCTTACCTTGCGGCCCTCCTTTTTCTTTCATTTTGGTCTGCAAACTTAGGTTGTTAACCCTCCAGAAGACAAGCTTGTTGTTATTACCATACAACTTAGGCTGTTACGCTTAACCTCGCTATCTGTCTGCATATCAAACATCTTAGGTATAATATGGAACAGGTATTTTTCATCAAGTATTGATATGTTGAACTTTAAGTCCCATATACAACCTTGAAGCAGGTCATATTGGACTATTTGTAATATTTTCTATCCGTTAGAGTGTTTCCTACTTCTACTATCTTTGGGTGAAGACCTTTTATGATAGACATGGATTCTTAAATACTACAAGTATATTGCAGTGGAGAACTCAAACTCCTCATGTGAACCAGAAATAAATATATGGTGTACTTGCATTAAAATGTGTAGACTCTAATTCAAGAATTTAATTTGTTTTTTAATTTTTACTTCTTTAAATATTTATAACATAAAATATATTTTATTAGGGTTTGGATATATTTTGTACAGTTTCTCTAAGTGCATTACTTGATAAATGTTTTTACTGAGAAATGTTTTTAACTTGCAGGTATTTTTTTTTATCCTTGTTAAATCTGACTTGATATTCATTGGCTAAATTTACATGTTTCTAAAACTGTTTCATTTTTTCATAAAGATATTACACTATCTCAAGTTCTCACATTTTTCCTAAACATGTGTACATAATCTTTGTACAACCTTTCTAAAACATATCCTATCTGAAGATACAAAGTTTGAATCCTAAACAAAATCAGTTCATTGAAGAGTGTGTGTCTTAGAAATGGTACATATTTTAAAAAATAACAATATGAAAGGTATTCAACAGTGGTTTTTATATTGCATATTTCTGTTTTCAATGAATTGTTTCATTTTCATAATTTCAGGACAATTTTTATGGATGATGGCAATAATTTTCAGAAGAAGTCTCATTATAACCAGACACCTTTTGATAAGTTACATTTTTTTTTTCTTTTTATGGTACCAGGCATTGAACTCAGGACCTTGAGTTTGCCAGGCAAGCACTTGTTCCACTGAGCTATCTCCTTAGCCCAGTAACTTTTGATATAATAAGAAATGTAATATATTTTGCTTTTCATATTTTTCAACATGCTGTAAGTCATATTTTATTTCCATCTTTAATAAGTCCAATTTTTTTCTTTTTCTTTTTTTGGCAGAACTAGGGATTGAACTCAGGCCTTTGCACTTCCCAGGGAAGCCCTTATTCTACTGAACCATCTTCTGGGCCCCAATTAATCCACTTTAAATGTAATATCCATCATGAAGATAAGTTTTAATCATAAATTCCCTTATTAAATATCTACACAATTTACCTTAAGTATGCAGAACCTCTGGGGTTGGCTTTAGAAAAAGTAAATAAATCTGAGGTATATTTTTCCTAAGAAACAAGGACATACAATCTACGTTAGCACTGTGTCAATGTTGTTTTATTTACATAATTATACTTGGTAGTATAGCTTGTAAACACTGTACATTTTTGTAAATTACAAGCATTTTTGTAAATTCTTGAAATCCAGCCCAGAGCCTCATGTGTGATCAGCAAATTCTCCTCCAGTGAATATTCTCTGTGATAATTGAACGGGATTCCCAATATAATGGGCTTCAGGTCAACTAGAGGATGAGTGTGTGAGCTCACTAATTACACTGATCTCTGTCTGTGCATTTCCAATTATGTTCCCTATACTCTTTCCAAGCTAGCACGAAGTGAGTAGCTCTGGGACCCTATGTCTTTCACCATGACTTTTAAGACCTGGAGCCAGAGATCTCTTTACTAAAATACATGAAACCATTAGCCAAGGATACCTATTTCTCTTTTCAAATGTGGGTGTTGATTGTTTTATTGAGAAACAAGGGAGCATGCGAGTACAGGAAGTTATCATCAGAAATGTGAAGTCACTTGTTAGGCTGTTCAAGACCATGTGATTCATACATCTTTCAGATTGGGTTCTGTAAAGTCTGGGAAAATCTGAAAAAGAATTGTTGAGAAAACCTGCAATGCAAGAATCAGAGCCTTGTAGGAATATTCTGGAGAAATCTAAGGAAAGCAAATCATTTACAGGACTTTTAAAGGTAAGGCAAAAGACAAGTTTTCATAGTCCAATATTTCTTTTCCAATAGATTAGATTAAGGAGAATGCATGGTACATTCAGAAAAATTTCATTAAGCTTTGCAAATGATATGTTATTTTACGTGTGGGTGCAATAAAGTCTATCAACTAAATAATCAAGTGAACACATTCTTAGTTCTCTAAGCATGGAGATTGTGGAATGAGCATTCCTAGCTGCATTCAATCTGGTTTATATGCTAGAGGTAGCACAAGATTAGAGACATAGGGGGCCGGGGAGATGGCTCAGTAGAATAAGTGCTTGCCTGGCAAGCACAAGGGCCTGAGTTCAATCCCTGGGTCTGCAAAAAAAAGAGAAAAAAGATTAGAGACATATTGTAGGAGTGTAAAGTTTAGACAGAGTGTACAATATAATGCTTCAACTAAATTATGTATTGTACTGAATGAATTGAGGTCATTGAAAGGCATCAGAATACCTGGAATTGGGGCTAATATCCTCAACTATCACAGACCAATTTTTGCTGTTATGAGTTAGACCACATTGTAAGTAATCCATTTAGGAATAATGCCCTAATGGCCTGATGGACCTTGTAGAGAACTGGTTCTCCAGAAGAACAAGAACAAGCACCAGAAGGAGAAACAAGGGGTGTAATGTGACCGCTCGGCCAAGTCTTGTGTCTATGGGATTTCTTCCACTATGTTCCTCACCAAGGAGAGTATAGGCTCCACCTTAGAGACCCAAAACTTCTGTCTCCTACTTGAACTGGAAGAGGGCTAGGTATTTTCTATGCTATCCTGTAATTATCACCCCCAGAATGCTACAGTTGTTGGATTCTACCAATATTCCAGAAACTTTCTGTTGCCAGGTAATGGCTGGTTAAAATTGGTTAAGCATGGATTTGAAAGTGCTGTGGAAATCCCGTGAAGTCAAAGATGCAAAGTGGATGGAATGACCTTTTCAATACTTTTTTTAAAAATATTTTTTGTCAGGGTCTCATGCCTAATGATCCTCCTCGCTCTGCCTCCCCGGCGCTTGTATTATAAGCATGCACCAACACATCTAGTTCTGGGGCTGGCACCATGCACCTTGGCCCCCAGCTGGCACAGCATGTGATACTGAGGATCAAATCTGGGACCTGCTGCTTGTCAGGCAGGCATTGACACCACCAAGCTATTGCCCCAGTGCTGGAATGACCTTTTACCAAGGTTTAAAAAATGAGGAGATTCAGCCCCATACACCCAGTGTGGCTGCATCTCGTAAATCCATAGCAAAGAGGCCAAGACAGACTACTGTACAGTGGTCCCTCACTTGTCGCTGAGGTTATGTTCTAGACACCCCCGTGATAATGAAAATCAGCATGGTAGCAACGTTCCTTCTTATTTTATTTTTGGTATGCTTTATAAAGCCTTCCTACTCTCTTATAAACCTTTAACTCACTTTTAAAAACACTTATAATGCTGTTTTTTAATTATTTCATTTTATTTTGAAGAATGAAGACAAAAGCAGAAACAAAGCCTGAAAGAATAAATAAGTACTGAAAGGTTTAATAGTTATAATAAAAGGGAAGTAAGCTGAACATAAGGATTAAACAGTGAAGATGAGGGAAAGGAGAATGGTTATGGTGGAAAGGAGAATGGACATGGCAGAAAGAAGGGAGAAAAATCATTCAAGTATATATACAGGATGGCTGAGAGGGTTGTCCCATAAATTCTAATGTTCATAATCATTTTCTAAACTCATACACCTATGTAATTTTCACATTTGCATACTGTAGGATACAATATATATTCATCTATTAAAGAACTACATTGTTAACTGTGTATTTTATTTTGATTTAATATTCTTTAAATACATTAGAATTACCATTTTTAATATATTTTAATATTTTTAAAAATTTAAGGCAAAAATCATTAAAATCATAAATACACATTTAAGTATGTATACAGTACTGTGCACACCACAAAATCCCTCAATATAGCAAAAACTCAGCAACGAATAATTTTGAGCATTTTTGGAAAATGCATGAAACAGTGAGTCCACGAAAGGTGAAATAGTGTGGCACTGCTGTACTTCCTTACCACTTTGATGTGCACCCAGTGCCGGACGCAAAACTATGACAATGCTTCACAAGGAATGTGAGTGACTCTGATTCACCAATTGTTTGTGAATAATGCATTTATTGAAATAGTAATGATCACCATGTAACATTGGAAAAAGATAAACTTACTTGTATATATTTTATTAGCAGAGATATCCAATCTAAAAAAAAAAACAAACAAACAAAAAAACTTCACAGTAGGAGGCTGGAACATTCACACAACTTTGAGAATTTTCAGTTGTTTAGAAAGAAGGTCTTTGGGGCCAAAGAGGAAAGTGATTGATGACG